CTGGGGCAGCCGTGGGCGGGGGGGGCCGCGCGGACCCGGGCCGGGGCAGTGGTGGGAGGGAGGTGCTGTTCGAGCCCCATGCTTCCGCCAGGTGTGCGACTCCAGGCAGAGCGAGGCGGTGGGCTCCGGGGTGACCCAACCCCGCTCGTCTGTCTGTTGCTTTCTCTAGGAATCTGCTCGACCTCGACACCTTCTCCAAGTCCGACCCCAGTAGGCGGCTCCAGGGCCGGGAGGGGGGACTTGGGGTCCGGGCGCGACGGAAACGGGAGGGCGAGGGGTGCGGGCCGACCTGATGTCCTTCCCTCCCCCGCCTCCACCGCAGTGGTGGTGCTTTACACGCAGAGCCGGGCCAGCCAGGAGTGGCGGGAGGTGAGTCCGAGAGCCCCCTCCCAGCCTGCAGGCGCTCCGGGGAAGGCCGGCCTCCTGCACGCTCTGCGCTGACCCTCGTACCCTCCCCGCCCAGTTCGGCCGGACCGAGGTGATCGACAACACGCTGAACCCAGACTTCGTGCGCAAATTCGTCCTCGACTATTTCTTTGAGGAAAAGCAGAATCTGCGCTTCGACGTGTGAGGCCCCGCCCCCCGCCCTGGCTCCGCCCCCGCGGCCTCCCGGCCCAGCTCGGTCCCACTCGCAAGGGCGGAAGGGCTCCCCTCCAGTCTGCGCCCCGCCGCACGGCTAGCTCGCCTGGCCCGGTCAGCCGCAGCCTGGCCACTCCGCAGCCGTGCCCCTGCCCACAGCGCCGCTCCCTGAGTCCGCTCGCAGCACACCCCTTAGCCTCGCCACTGCCCCCTCCACCCGGCTTCTGTCCCAGGCAAGACCCAAGCCCACCCTCCCATGACCCACAGATTTGCACCCCTTTCCAGCCGCTCTCCCGCCCCACACCGGTTCTCCTCTCTTCCAGGTACAACGTGGACTCCAAAACCAACATCTCCAAGCCGGTGAGCGAGCGTCCCCGCGTGGACTGGCTGGGCACACGGAGACGCTCAGCTGTATTAAACAGCCTTCCTTAGAACACCTAACCCTTGATCCCTACCCCAGCTTCTGCAGGCTCCCAACCACCCTCCCACCCTCTCCTGCTCCTGCCAGGGTTTCCCGCCTGGCCCCTAACTCACTGCTCCTCTTCCTTCTCGGCTGCCCTGGGACCTGCAGAAGGTGAGGCTGAACTGGGCTGGGCGTGGGCAGGGGGTGGGGCTGGGCTGGTATTGAGACCAGGCTTGGGTTGATGGCTGCCAGGAAGCAGAGCTTGCCTGGGGACCCTTTCCCACCCACCCTCCATTATTCACAGGCCAGGTGGCAGGTCTTGTGATGTCCCCTCTGGGAACCACCCTGGTCGGGTGTAGGTTCCCAAGAGTGGGCTGGGGCAGCGTGCCCCTCCTGGTTTTGCTGACTTCGTGTCCTGGCGCAGGACTTCCTGGGACAAGCGTTCTTGGCCCTGGGAGAGGTGATCGGAGGCCAGGGCAGCCGGGTGGAGCGACCTCTCACGTGAGCTGATTGGGAAGGGGTAGCAGGGCGGGCATCTCCCCATTGTCTCCCAAGGACACTGCTGGCAGAGCAGCTGAGGCCGGGGTTGCCACTGGTCCAGAACCTTCACTGGCTCCCATCGCCTTAGTGAGAAAGTCCAGCCTCCACGGCTCTGCTCCAATCTCAGGCCTGACAAGGCTTCCCCTCTTCATTCCTTTTCTAAGTCTGGGTCACCCTTTAAGGTCCACCTAGTCCAAGCCCCTCTCCACAGAGAAACTTTCCTGACCAAATCGGATCCTCAGGAATTTCCATTCCATTCACTTGCTAAATGTGCAGTGTCAACCCCTGTCCCAGGGACTTGGGTCCCACAGAAGAGGTTCCTGCCCAGAGGATGCCTCTCCTCTGCTCGGTGGGTTTGGGGGAGCAGTATAAAGTAGACATAGTGAGTAAGTAAAGGCCATAATGCAAGGTGTAAGTGCCGTGGGAGGAAAGGTCAAAGCAGAGCAGAGCACGGGCACTGGCAAAGCTGAGTGCTGAGGGGAGTGTTCAGTAGCGCGGTCCAGCAGGAGTAAGTGGCACAGACCTGTGGAGGAGGAATGTTCCAGGCAGAGGAACCCATCCGCGCACAGTGTGGCTAGATGAGAGGAGGGGGAGGCTGGAGCGGGGCAGGCAGGGGAGGGTGGGCCTGTCCTCCCCCGGAAAGACTTCAGCTTTCTCTCCCCATTGAGTCACTGGAGGGTTCTAAGCAGTGTCTCCAAAGACAACGCTGGCTCTGGATTGAGAATGGAGCTGGGGTAGACAGACATAGATGAAGGGAGCCCATGTGAAGGCTAGTACAGGAGCCAGCAGGTGGCATGGTGGTTAAGGTGCTGGACTTCCATGTAGCCAACCACGGTTTGAGTCCTGGACCTGGCAGCTGGAAAAATCATGCCAGGCGTGTGTGTGTGCATGCCCAAAATCCCAGGAGGAGAATGGAGGAGAAGGGATTGCTGTGTGGCCATACCCACTAGGGGAAGATTTCTTATTTTCTCTCTCACTGTCTTTCTGAACACACTCAGAGCGCACGTGACCTATGGCAAAAAGAAAGAAAAAGAAAAAGAAGACTAGTATGGGGGCCAGCAGGTGGTGTGGTTGTTAAAGCACTAGACCCTCTCATGCTGACTGTGGTACAAGTCTCAGATCTGGCAGCTTGCATTATTATTTTTTTTGAGAGGTTTTCACTATAGGGCACGTGTGCTCGCCAGAAAGACAAAGAGACAGAAAGTGAGAAATCACCCCCCAGGGGGAATGGCCACACCACAGTCCCTTCTCCTTCATTCTCCTCTCGGGATCTTGGGCACTCACACACACGCCCAGCGTGAGTTTAAGCCACCAGGTCTGGGACTCGAACCAGAGTCGACTACATGGGAGTCCAGCGACATAGCCATTAGGCTAACTGCTCTTCCCAAGAGTCCGGGCATATTCTGAAAGTGGAGCTGACACATTCCTTGGCAGACGGAATATGGATGTGAGAGGAAAGGGGAGTTGCGAATGGCACCACAGCCTTTGGCCTGAACATGTGGAAAGACGGAATTGCCTCCAACTGAGATGGCTAAAAAAAAAAAAAAAAGGCAAGGAAGGAACAAGTTAGGTGGAAGGATTCGATCAGGAGCTCAGCCTGCCATCTTGAATCTCAAATGCTTTATTGGCCATCCGAGAGGTGTCATACAGGCAGCATGGTAAACGAGTCTCTGATGTATTCCATGAGGCGCTCAACTAAGACCATGAGACTGATGAGATCCACAGGGGCAGGAGAGCGAGACCAAAGATGGAGACTTCAGAAGTTGGGCCTGGAAAAGGACACCGAGAAGGAGCAATTAATGAAGTAAGGAGGAGACCCAGGGGAAGGTAGTGTTCCCTTGGAAGTGAAGTGAAGAAAGTGTACTGAGAATGAGAGAGTGACCAACCATGGCAAACACTGCTGTAGGTCAAATAAGACGAGGGGTGGGATAGGCCAGCAGGTGGCATGGTGGTTAAGGCACTGGACTCCCGCATGGCCTACTGCGGTTTGAGTCCTATGCTCAGCAGCTTGCTTTCTTGCTTTGCTCCTCTCTTCTTTCTCTAATAAGCATTCATGCCCTAAAGCAAATTTAAAAATAATAATGATAATAAATAAAGTAAAATAAATAATCCTTTAAAAAGAAGAAGAAGGGGGAACTAGCCGTTGAGCTTAGCCAGGTGGAGATTTCTGGTGTCTGACAGGCACAGTTGGAAAGGGGAGGTGGAGGTCGCAGAGATTCAGAAGAGGAGGGAAGAGGAGCATAGGAGTGAAGGAATCTTCTGAGAGTTTTTGCTGCAAAGGGTGGCCAGAGCAGAAAATGAGGTAAAAAATTATTTGTAATTTTTAAGTATTTTTTTTGCTTAGAGAGCACATGTGCTTGGAGGAGAGAGAGAACAGAGAGGGAGGAGAGGAGAAAGCACCTCCGATGGAAAATGGTCACACCACATTCCCTTCTCCTTCATCTCTCTTTTGGGATTTTGGGCACACACACACACATGTACCTGGTGTGTTTCTTTTCTTTTTTAAAAATTTTTTGAGAGGTTTTTGCTATAGGGCGTGTGCGCTTGCCAGAAAGACAAGAGAAAGACAGAAAACAAGAAATCACCCCTGGGGGTGATGGCCATACCGCAATCCCTTCTCCTCCATTCTCTTCTTGGGATATTGGGCATGCACGCACACGCACCCAGCGTGAGTTTAAGCCACCAGCTCCAGGACTCGAATTGCAGTCAACTACATGGGAGTCTAGCGACATAGCCGTTACACCAATTGCTGGTTCCCCCCTGGTGTGTTTCTTAAGCTGCCAGGTCCAGGACTTGAACCACAAGGTTGGCCATGTGGCATCTGACTACCTTAACCACCAGGCCATGGAGTCAGCCCTGTAATTTTCTTGTTAAGAATTATTTTAGGGACCAGCTTTCTGGTGAGCGCACAGCCCTATCGCAAAAACCTCTATTAAAAAAAAAAAGAATTATTTTATTTAACTTATTTATTTATTTTGACCAGAGAGGAACAGAGAGAGAGAGAAAGAAAGGGAAAGTGAGAAAGCAAGCCTCCGGATCCAGGACTTGAACCACAGTTGGCCATGTGGGAGCCCAACACCCTTAACACTATGCTACCTGCCGGCCCCAGCCCTGTAATTTTCTAACATGAGAAAAATACTGTGTTTGTATATTCATGGGAGTGACCCAGTAGAAATTGAAAAACAGTAATGAAAAGAGAGGAGGAGGGGCCAGCAGATGGTGTGGTCTTTAAGGGTGCTGGACTCCCACATGACCCACTGCCTTTTGAGTCCCGGACCTAGTGGCTTGCTTTCTCACTTTCCCTCTGTCTGTCTGTCTGTCTGTCTGTCTGTCTCTCACTCTGTCCCTCTCTGGTCAAATTAAAATAAATGAATAAAATTAAATAATTTTAAAAAGAAGAGGGGAGGATTGCTGGAGCAATGCCCTTGTGCAGACAGGCCAGTGTGGAACATCGCCCCAGAGGAGGGCTCAGTGGGCACACAGAGGGTCCATTTATAGCAGCCGCAGGAAGGCACGTGGTGTGGGGGCAGATGCTGGTGGCAGGGTAGGTGCAGTGGGTGGGCATCCCTCTGCTTGCTTCAGTTTTGTCACTGAATAGGAAACAAGGTCAGCGGCGGAGAGTGAGGACTGTAGAGGGGCCTTGAGGGTTTAAGGGTAGGGAGGCGTGGTACCGCCCTCTTGCAGAGCTGGGGAGCACAGGGCCTCGGGACGCAGACTGTCGCAGTAAGGCCCCTCTTGAGGTTTGTGGTCATGCATTTAAAGCAAGACCGAGTGGCATGGTTGTGTTTTCTTTGGCGCGTGCAGTACAAATTAGGCAGAGTGTTGGATGTAACTGTGGCTGTAGTTCTTCCAAATGAGTACAGAAGGTAAGAGAAGCGCAGGGAAGAGCAGGACTGCAAGGATTACTACCATCGCTGCCTGGACTCGCACCCGGTGAGGACATGAGTGAGGGTGCAGGCAGTGACACGCCGTAGGAGCCACGGTCTGTGGGTTGTGGGGTTTCAGGCAAACAGGCCCTGTGCTTATCACACTCCTTGTTTTTTTTTGTTTGTTTGTTTGTTTTGGTGGGGGAGAGGTTTTCGCTATAGGACGCATGCACTCGCCAGACAGACAGAGAGAGACATAGAGACAGAAAGCGAGAAATCACCCCCCAGCAGGGATGGGCACGCCACACTCCCTTCTCATTCTCCTCTTGGGATCTTGGGTTCCCCCGCACACGCGCCCGACATGAGTTTTAAGCCACCGGGTCCGGGACGCGAACCGCGGTCAACTATGTGGGAGTCCAGCGACATAGCCATTACGCTAACTGCTGGTTCCCACTCCTTGTTTTGTTTTGTTTTTGTTTTTGTTTTTGTTTTTGTTTTTGAGAGATTTTTACTATAGGGCACATGCACTCACCAGAGAAACAGGGAGACAGAAAGTGAGAAATCACCTGTCAGGGGGGATGGCCATGCTGCAATTCCTTCTCCTTCATTCACCTCTCGGGATCTTGGGCATGCACACACACGTGCCCAGTGTGAGTGTAAGCCAACAGGTCTGGGATTCAAAACGCAGTTGACTACATGGGAGTCCAGCGACATAGCCATTACGGCAACTGCTGGTCCCCACACTCCCTTTTAAAGCACAGACAGAGACTGAAGCAGTCAGATCGTTCAACCCTCTCATTTAACCTTTAAATTTTTGTCGGCACATGCGCTCACCAGAAACAGAGAGGAGGGCAAAGAGAGGGAAAGGGAGAAAGCAGAAAGCACCCGCATGTGGAATGGTTGCACTGTAATCCCGTCTCTTCCAACTCTCCATCCTGATGGGATTTAGGGCACACATGCACACAGACCCAGCATTCTCTCTCAAGTCGCCAGGTCCCAGACGTGGACCATCAAGTTGGTCATGTGGGATCCGGCTGTTTTAACTACTATGCCACAGAGCAGGCCCAACGCTCTTATTTTAAAGATGGGGGGCCGGCAGGTGGCCTGCTGGGAGAGGCGCTGGACTCCCACATGGGAGTCCGACCCCAGCTTAAGTCCCAGACCTGGTGGCTTGTGTTCTCGCTTTCCCTCTCTTTCTCTCACTCTTTCTCTCTCTGGTTAAATTAAAAAATAATACTAATAAAATTAAATCATTCTTTTAATAAATAAAGATGGGGAAAATCACATAGCAAGTTAGAGTCAAGACTTGAACTCAGTTTCTCCCTGCCATAATGTGAATCCCTGTGGGAATGAGAAGTCACAGTCCTCTATCAAAACGGTCCCTTACTGGTGGGGGACTGGTCTAAGGCAAATTGGGGCTATGAATCCATGTATGCACTCTTCAGACACATGGAGGTGTCCCTTGTAGTGTTGGAAGAGGATAAGATAGCCTGTATCTTTTTTTAAAAATATTTTTAAAATTATTTATTTAATTTCATTTATTCATTCATTTATTTTTAATTTGACCACACACACACACACACACACACACACACACACACATAGAGGGAAAGGGAGAAAGGAAGACATCAGGTCCAGGACTTGAACCATGGTCGGCCATGTGAGAATGTCCGGCACCTTAACCACCACGCCACCTGCTGGTCCCAGCCCTTATCTTATTTTAAATCTCCTTCCACAGTTTTCAGAAAGCAGCTTTGCCCTAATACCCCAGCCCTTCTGCCCTAGGATCTGGCAAGACATTTCTCTTCCTCACTCAGAGCTGCTACACCACACTCCACTTGCCTCTCGGCTCATATAGTCCTCCACCCCTGGCAGCTTCCCGAGGGCAGCATCGAGTGGGGCTGAAGAAGGCCGACTGACTGTTCATACCTCGCACGGCACCTAGTGCACAGCAGGCACCAGGGTCCGCTTTGAAGAGCACAGTGACTTCACATAGAGCTTGGAAGCTGCTTTTCCTCCCATGCTGTAGATCAGATCGCGTGGCAGCCCTAGCAGGCCGCGACTCATTTCATACAGGAAGTAAAGCTCAGAAAGGTGAAGTAATTGGCCCGGGGTCACACAGCGTGGAAATCATAAAATCCACCGAGTCCACTGCCTTTAAAGTCCATGTCTTTTTCACACTACGTTTATGTAATGTCCACCTAGGCTTGTCTCACCCCTTCCTAACAACATGCAGAC